AATAGAAAGTATAAATACCTGGTTGGTAAACGCCGGGGGATAGTTTTTTTTACCATATTTAATTCAACACTTAATTTAAAACTCTTAGAGTGGCCTGCGATCCATAAGGTTAAATGTAAATATAGTTTTATTATTATTATTATTATTATTATTATTATTATTATTATTATTATTATTATTATTATTATTATTATTATTTAAATTTGTGGCTGATGTGTAAATTATTTTACACATGTGCCATTGTCACCTGGTGTATACTATGAAAACTCAACACTATGAATGTTGCTCAAATGTGGCTGCCCTGGTTCTCTAAGTTTCCATCAAAATGGTTTTTAGTTCTTTAACTATAGCCAATTATTTATTTCTTTCAGGATCAGAATGTGGATATGATGTCTTGTTGACAGATGAAAATAGTGTCGAAGTCTTATCATCTATGAATCACTCCAAGGCAATTGAACAGTGTATATACACATTCACAAGTCCAACACGTACTAAATTAAAGATGGAATTTCTGAGTTTGAAAGGCGCCGTGAGCGGTTGCAACTTTAAAATGGGTGCAGGAACAAATCCATTCAATACAACTAGCGAATTTACATCATTGCCTCTGATATCTACTGGAATTGATCTCCCCGGAAACATGGCTTGGATATGGTTCGCACAAACTCCAGAGAACTCTAGCTTTGTGGTTCGCTTGAGTTCATTCATTGGTAATAATGCTTCAGATTCCATTAAAATATTGTCTTTTGGTCAAATAAATAAAATAAACAATATCACCTATACTGTACATTGTAGTGAGGTGAATGGTTTTTAAAATTCAATGTACCTTTGAAATAATTTAATTATTTAGTTTCTGACGTGTGTTTTTATTTTGAATATAGTTATTACTTGCGAATAGTATGCCAGTAAAGCATTATCTCCTTTTTTCATTACTGCAGAGAGTAAAATCATTAACATTGCGGCTAATGATTCATATATCATAGACAATAATTCGCATTCGATCAACTCTTGGCTTGAATACGGTTGTTTAGTTTTCAAGTCTTCGTCTGGTTATCATTTCAAGTTGACGTTTTTGAATGATATCTTGGACTTAAGAAAGACGTCTGAATTCTATGACCCAGGATATAACAAGATAGCTTTTGGTTTAGGATCGGACTCATTGAAGTACAATGTATTCACATTAGAGTCTGATTACGACGACATGTTGGAGTTGTACACGGATGCTATTTGGTTGAAAATGGACGGATATGGGCCGTATGCTATTGGAATCACTATTTCAACTATACTTACAAGAGAAGGTAACTCCTGTTACACACTAATTAAGCTGTACTAATTACTGTGTCATTATTATTATTTATTATATTAGTATTAACATTAATACTATTGTCATTTCAAGTGTATTATTGTTTATATTGCAATTTGATTGTTAATGGTTTTTTAGTGCTATTGCTATTAATACTATTTTCAATATTAATATTATTATTATTATTATTATTATTATTATTATTATTATTATTATTATTATTATTATTACTATTATTATTATTATTATTGGCTTTTCCCAGCAGTACTGGGAAAAGCCATTGTTTTTGTTCTGATTTTTATTTGTTTTCTTTTTTCTAGCATATATATTTCCTATCTTTTTGCACTGTTTCTTTCTGGCCGTTACTTTGATCACTTCCCATGCTTTGAATTTTTCCGTGCTTTGCCGAAGCATAGGCCATATTTGCCTTCTAATATTTAGTGTCAATCTATGGTAGGGTGTGCGTGTGTGGACCAAATAAAGTTATTTAAGGTCAAACAGTCTACATTGGATATTTAAAAAACCGGTCAGTTGCTTACGGGAAAGTTTAATCAAGTTACAAGGAAGAATTTTTATGTGTTAGTGACGATCCAGTAAAGGGTGTAAATTTGAGATTTTTTTCATTTTTTAGGACCCAGACCTAATCTCTTTAAAAAAAAAACCAATTGATCTGAATGAAACATTCTATAATACTTTGTAAAGGTCTTGTAAAAAAATGATTAAATTTTGTGACAATCCGCAGTATGGTGTGGATGTGAGGACCATTTAAAGGAAAACGGATCAACTGATCTGAATGAAACATTCGGAAAAGTTTAACTAAGTTACAAGGAAGAAATTATTATGTCCTGGCGACGAATCAGACAAGGGTGGAAATGGGTGGGTCATTTCAATTTTTGAGGACCCAGACCTAAATATTTTTAACCTTGTATAACAGTTTGTCAAGGTCGAGTAAAGGTCGAGTTACATAATAAGTCTAGTTATTATTATTATTATTATTATTATTATTATTATTATTATTATTATTATTATTATTATTATTGTTATTATTATGTTACTAAAACCTACCTTAAGGGGAACCTAATTATTATTATTATTATTATTATTATTATTATTATTATTATTATTATTATTATTATTACTACTATTACTATTATTATTATTATTATTATTATTATTATTATTATTATTATTATTATTATTATTGTGAAATGAAATTTTGAATCTGTTGATGAACCAATCTGTGGTAAATGCTATTATCACAGTGTATGCTACTTAAATTTTTCAGATTATAGGACACACATACTTGTTAAGGATGTTGCAACAATAACATATCCATCGTCAGAGATTGGCAATGTTGAAGAAAGCAGTAATGTTTCTACCACAGTATGGATAGTCACATCTATAAGATACCCGAATATTGCAGTGAAATTTATCAACTTCTCTTATGGAACATCTGAATTTAACTTTATTACTATTGGACACGGTGTTAATACTGAATTGTCGTCCTCAATCCTTTTCCAAGGTCTTGCTTTAGATTTCCAAAGAACGCTTCCCCATGATTTAATTATTCATTATTCAACATTCTGGGTTCGACATACCTCATACCGACGAATAAATGATACACGTTTTTCTATGGAGCTTCGAGGCCTACCAGATAGAGGTGTGTTTTTATGCTATTTCTGCAGTACATACACAATTAGTGGGCCTGTAATTTATCTGCAATATTGTTGGCCACCGACAATATCGCCCACAATATATTTATGCATAACATACTTTCTTTGTTTTTGCTTTTCTCTTATTAACAATCTTACTGAATTCGATTTTTCTTTTGAAGTTAAGCAAAGAAGTGATTTTCAACCCGTGGTATTCATGTTGTTCTCAAATAATAATAATAATAATAATAATAATAATAATAATAATAATAATAATAATAATAATAATAATAATAATAATAATAATAATAATAATAATAATAATAATAAATTCCGTAACAGTAATCGAATTACATAGGGAGTGATTTATATCCAAGTATCGACAGAAAAAAAAAATATATTATATATATATTAGATAATTGCCTTTGTGTTTTGCCTGAGTTGTTTGGTTTAGTATTAGATGGTTTCGTTGTTTGCTTTTAAATAAGATGGTTTGGTTGCTAATTAGAAGATCTTGATTTTGGTTTAATGGTGTCTATAAAGCCTGATTTTCTGTCGACATTGACATGTTTTTAATCTGTCCTTTCCATATCATCTATAACAATAAGCAAAAATACATAACATTTATTGAGTTATCATTTATTGGACAATGAAATTGATATAATTAATGTTGATCTACGTATGCTTCAGTTATAGAACAGTTTAAAGACATAATACTACATGATTTTTGACTGCTACATTAAACTGCTATAGGGAATTTCAAACACCTATTTTGCAAAGTATTATTTTACTATATTTTGGTTTTTCAGACAATATAATATGCCCCACGAAAACTGTGCAAGATATCTGTGATGATGAGTTTGATTGTCCAGATCTTAGAGACGAAATAGGCTGTGTTGATCCAGGTAAACGAAACTTTGCACACATTCCGTTTGAGCAGCGTGAGGTGTTGAATATTTGATCGTTCGTCGCATTGCTTGTGTCTTAATGTTATTGTTATTGTTTTCATTTTCATTTTTATTATTATTATTAGTAGTAGTATTTTTATTCTTTATAAACTGCACATCTGCACATACTGATATCCCCCTCTTTTAACTACACACATTCAAATATGCATAAGCCTGTATTTAATATTTTAAGTTTTCATGTAATCTGTAATTTATGCCCTATTTGAAAGTATATTATATAGGCCTATCACTTTATGCATTATCAGATGCATATAACACTTAGTGGCCAAGGACCAAAGTGCTTTTATAAAAAAAAACAAATAAACAGCTAAAAAAACATTGGCAATTTATATAAATTGTCCATAAAAAGCCAGAAATTAAAACATACACAAATACATGAAAAAATAATAGGACAAAATAAGAAAAAAAAAAAAAGAATTATTAAAAGGCCACCGTGACGATTGAATGAATAACTGTTTGTTTGATTGATTGATTGATAAGATAGGGACACCTCACTCTATCAAGGAGATTGCTTGTAATGAGTTGAATACAAAACGGAATGGTATCTTTCAGTTGTGTAGATCTTTATCTTTCCAGGGCGACCACAGTGGTGGACTGCCAAGAGATCAAGGTATGCGTGGCTTAGCCAAAACACCAAAGAAAATAATTTAATGTATACCGTATCCTCTCCAGTTATTTAGCTTTAATAACCTTAATTTAAATTTATTAGTTCTTGATCTTATTTGGGTACGTTTTGTATCGCGAATACTACTGTCTATTACATTTCAGCATACCCTGTAATTTACCCTACAGTCCGCCACTGATCAGTACTTTTTTGACGCGAAGGTCATAAGTAGGTCATAAGTAGGTCATTAGTAGTTGCTGCTCCCAGTTTACCGTGCCCGACTTCATTCCTCAATCGTCTATTGTGGGAATATTTAAAATTCTATTTATTTCCCTGAAAACTTTTTTTTTATTTCGTTTTAGTATATCATTTACACGATCCATAGATTGTATAAAGCCCTACAACTATTACAAAATATTAGGTATCTCTTGCGGCCAGAGACCTCTTCACCCAGACGTACGTACCAAACGAGTAATTGGTGGAACGGAACCGCTTCCTGGTAGCTGGCCCTGGCAAGGTCTCATCTTCTATGGGGATTCGCCTAAGTGTGGCTGTACCCTCATCAATGAATTATATGTAATTTCAGCATCTCATTGCTTTTCGTAAGTAACATTTTGTTCTTTGGGTCATATTGAAGCAATGGAAACTAGTTTAGCTTGTGAAACTAATATGTAAATAATATGATGGGACATTGTCAGATTTTTAGCCTTAGGGTATAGCACCTCGGTAATACTGTCGGTCGCATGGAAACTGAAGATGCGAAGAACCAATACATGGTCAACAGGTCTGATAGCTGTGTAGTAGCAAGGTGAGATACACCAAGCATACTATCTTGACGAAATAAAAATAAACCACCTCACATAATGTTTTACCTCTGTTTGATGATAACATTTAGAATATCTATAAAACATGGAGATTATGGAGAATTCTTATTCTCCAAACTAATAGTTCTCTAGCCTCTCACATTGTAGATGTATTGACATTAAACCAATGCTAGTATGCTGTTTAAATTTCATTAAAATGCTCTTAACTGTACCAATTCGAAAGTTCAACAGATAACTAAAATTGGGCTTTTTTGGATCATATTGAGTTATGGGGGAAATTTCAGAATTATTGTCATTGTGTTTTAATATGTAACAATTTGGTTATAGATAACTGGAATAAAATCATTAACGGAAATGAGAAAACTCTTTAGCAGTTTTATCAATCTGTGAAACTGTGCTGGGAATGTTGCATTCATCTTTAGCGTCTGCCGATGAGATGGCAATATTGGCATACTTAATAAAAACAGCTAAACGTTGATCCCCAAGAAGAAAATAAGAAAAAAGGATATTTGGAAGTTGGAAGAAACAAGAAAAACATGTTTGCTTCCAAAGGCGACACTGAGGTTTAACCTACGGCGGAGGCCAGTGTGAGCGCTCTCTCACCGACACATTTTATGTTTTCTTGGGATGGGATGTCTCTTGCTATCTCGAGCACGCACACTTTATAATTTTTGTCGTCAATCTTTTAAAAAAAATACTACGATACTTCTCTTCTCAACAAGCTGCTTGATTTTAGAATAGTTTGATTTGGAAACACTTTCTTTAGTCTCACATGAGTTGCGACCAATTATTTTATTTTGGGAAAATTGAAGAATTTCCTGCAACTACCATTGGCATTATGAGCGGGAGATACAAAACTACAACACATGGAGCAATGCGAAAGCAAAGCAAAGATTTAAGGAAAATACATAAAAAGAATCAAATCAAACATAAAACAAAAAGGAAACAAAATAGGCCTATGTACTTGAAATTTAATTGGTTTGGTGAGGCGGGGACGGTTTGGTTTCCCAAGCTCGAGGTCGGAGTTTCAATCCCTCGCCCTGATTAGCTGCTGCAAAGTTATGGAATACTACCCTGGGAGGTTGCGTTTTTGTTCCACTATAGGCGTTTATTAATCAACTGACGGGGGTAGGGGGTATAATAATGATAATGATGATGATGACGATGACGACAACGACGACGGCGGCGGCGACGACGACGACGATATCAAGCGCAAAGAGAGATTATCATAATTCACTATATGAGTCTATTATTATTATTATTATTATTATTATTATTATTATTATTATTGTTATAATAATAATAATAATTATTATTATTATTATCAAATTGCTGAAGTGAATGGAATATTTCAAAGAATTTTTTGAAAATAACAGAGGAGATTTGCCGAAAATCAGAAAAAAAAAAGTTTCATGTATAATGACATATGAGGTACGAGATGACACAAGGCAGCAGGACCAAATGATATAATAAAGGAAAAAATCATGTTCCTAGAAGAAAATGAAAACAGAATGTTGACATCGATACTGAATGAAATATATGATACTACAGGGGAGACACCAGAAACTTTAACTATTTAAAATCTATACCAAAAGAGTCAGGGAAAAGCAGTGTTAACATCACAGGACAATAAGCATAATGAGCCAAATCACAACTCTCTGCTAATTATTGGGAATGGAATCAAAATTGCCTGGAAAGACAGATTGACGTAGCAGTGTTGTTTTGAGAGGATACTGAAACAAGAACACCATCCACATGTTAATCCAGATGCAGAGGGAGGATGTATTTATTTGCTTTATTGACTACTCAAAATCGTTTGATTAGATACAACACGTCATACTGTTTGAAATGCTTCAAAACCTGAAAATAGATGGAAAAGAATTAATAAATATGTATTGGAAACAGTCAGCAGTAATGCGAGTAGGAGTTGAAATAGGTAAACATGTCAGAGTTCAGTCGGCTAAACTGATGGTATGTTAGCCACTGTGTGGAGATCTCTGTGTTCCTGGTTCAATTCCCATGACTGCTTTCCTTGTTTTTCAGTTATAGCGCACCGTCTTTCGGATGAAACGTCTCCGTTGGTCCCGTGTTGACCCGCGTGCACGCTAAGAAACGCAGTACACTATTCGGAAAAGAGTAGAGCATTGTCTCCTGGTGTATTGCCAATCATCACTAGAAGGATGTCTTACTCAGTCTTTCGTGGGTTATCCTTGGTTTTTACACTACCATTAATTATGCCTGTTCTATCTGGTTGACTAACAGCCATTCCTCTACTGAAAAAAAATACGGTGAACGTGGTTGGCAATCGCTTGAATCACTTCAAAATTATTACAGAATTTCATATTTAAATCATGTTGTAAACATGAGTGAATCAAGATTGCCACATTACTGAAAGCAGCCAAAACTGTTAACAATTATATGAAATGGCAATGGTTTAAGATTCTATTTTGAACCCACTACAGCCGTTTTATTTGCGTGAGGCATCGTTTATCCACCCTCCGTGCTAGGCCAGTTTTCACAGACTTGGTGAGTAACTGTTTGCGGGAAGCACGACTGTCTTCCCGATCAGCTTGATAACGCTAGCTTCTCTCGTAATTCTCGTAGTAGTACTGCCTACGCCGGAGAGCTATTCGTCGATTCACCATGAATAATCGGGCTCCAAGGCAATGGAGTTTGAGACGCCATGAAACAATTACATCATTTGAAAGTTGGCGAAATAACTTGATATATACCTTGTCTTTAGACTCAAATTTGACACCCTTTCTGGAGGACACATGGCGGAAGAAAAGCCGTGCCCATCCTCACAGAGGCTTTACTGACGACGGTCCCGACCTGCCTAAAGCCCAACGCCGCACCGCCGCTCAAAATAATAACATCGTGGACATGATGCTATGTCAGGTGGCTAATCATTGACCAATAATTTCACGGAACTCAATAACAAAGGGTGCCACCTCTCTCGCAGCAATTTGGCAACTGATTAGACAGCACTTCGGTTTTCAGAATAGCGGGGCACATTTCTTAGACTTCGACAACATCAAACACGAACCTGACGAACGTCCTGAGGACCTTTTCCAACGATTATTTTCGTTTATTGAAGATTCACTTCTGGCTCCAGGAACTAACATAAAGCATCATGGCCAGGAGATTACAGAAGAGGAGGAACTGACTCCTTCTCTTGAGAACCTGACTGTTCTTACCAGGCTACGCCTCCTCCACCCCTCATTACCTAAACTGGTAAAGCAACGATACGGTACAGCACTTAGATCAAGGACCCTGGCTTCCCTTAAGCGAGAAATTTCGCAAGCTTCTGATTCATTACTTGAGGAATTGAATAGCGGAGACGTAGCTGCCTTCCGTACACTTACTAAGCGCCCACCTACCAGATCTACCAGTCGCACCACCAGGCGACCATCTTGCCCTCTATGTTTACAGGCAAAGCGGCCAGACACAAGCCATTTCTTAAGTCAATGCAAGTACTTACCTGAGTCAGACAAACACTTCATGGCCCGTACCCGTCTTACTGATGTTTCAGAGGACGAGCCAGTAGACCATTACGAAGACGACTTCGTAGAACCCACAGAGGAACCGGTATTGGAGCCAGCTGCTCGCCATGTTAGTACCGCCCATTCACCATATATCGATATGTTTCTTAGCCATCTCCCTGTTCGCATTACAATGAACAGTGGTGCCAAAGGCAATATGATTAGACTTTCCACAGCTAGACGTCTCGGTGTTAAAATATCCAAGTCAAGCCAGTCCGCTAAACAAGCAGATGGATCTTCTCCACTGAAGGTGGTTGGAGAAACCAAGTTCACTTTATACCGTGACAATGTTGCCTGCTTGTTTGAAGGTTTGGTTATCCAGGACCTGGACACTGAAATCTTAGGGGGTGTACCCTTTATGAGCACAAACGATATAACGGTCAGACCAGCCAAATGCGTCATCTACATCAAGGATACCAGATTTGCGTTTTTTTTAACCAAACCTACTTCCGGGGACCACGAAGTCCGACTTACGCATGTAGTTCGTGGACCAAATCACCACACCACAATCTGGCCAGGGGAGTTCATTGAGTTAACCCTACCCGAGGCCACACCCAATGATCTGTCTCTTATACCATGATTGCGAGATTGCTTTGGAGCCAAGAGTCGATACGCGTTCCCTTACTACCAGTGACGTTTGGCCCCCTCCATTTGTCACTCATAGTGTGGGAGGAAAGTTTAGGATAGCCAACAACACACAGGAACCACAGACATTACGGCGACACGAACAACTGTGTCAGGCCACACCAGTATACTCTCCCATGGATCAGAACCAGCTACCGCTGAATGTGTCTTAGTCGCTTCTGTGAAGACAATTACATCGTCAGTAGATGACGTCATAATCGACCCCGATAAGATCCTCCTCGACACAGAGGGACAACAGCTAGTTAATGTCACTAACGAGTTTCCCGACGTTTTTGATCCCAATTTGCATGGTTTGTCCGCCCTAGAGGTCATGTTCCAACGCGAGCAGTTCTCTAACAATCAAATCCACCTTGACGATTTACAGATCATTTCTCAACAACATCAGTGACGGATTACTAATCACGCCCATAGTGAGCGGTCCAAGGCCCCTTACGGTTCTCGACGTGCCAACCCAGACATTGCTGTTGGTGAGATTGTCTACTTTACACAATAGCCCTGGATCAACTTCTCAGCAGGACTGTAGGGCACCAACTTGTTGTGACACCAGCAGGGATATCCATTCGCCAGGTGTCTCAGGATCACAGGCCGCTTCTACTCACAGCAGATCTTCAATTGACCTTTAACCCAGGACCTCTACCCGTGCTAGGCAACCCCCTTCTTATTTTAAGGACTATTTCTGTGAATCTACCTTTTATTGTGATGGTCATTTTCCATACATATCGATATTTACGTTGACACTGTATGCTTGGGCTCATAGGAGCTATTTGTTTCTAGTTTTTATTGATTAGACCAATGCGTAAATATTTACTAGTCATATACGCTTTGCTGGTTTTTCTTTTATTTCACTTGTTTTGTTATGTTTTCCCTTTTCTCTAGCAAGAATAGAAATAGATAAAGGTAGTTGCGCCAACATTGTTAATACCAATGTTGATTGTGCGCTGTGGGCGCACCATATGTTTTGTGGTTTGTTTTACGCCTGTTGGGCGTCCCACTCATGTTGTCGTACCGACTTACATCCGAGAGATTGTTTTACTGGCGATGAATGTCTCAATAATTGTGGATTAGGGAACGTGTTAGAAGACAATTCTTTTCAAAACGATTTATTTCGCAGTTGTTTTCAAATGTACTGAGTATTCGGTACATTTCCACGTCAGGCAGGGCAAAAATTACACCTATACATGTTTCTCCTGACGCAAATCCAGTTATTGTCTAATATTCCATCACGACAATAACAATTACTATCACTATTATTAGGAAAGAAATTATGAAACACTTATTCTCAACTGGAAGAAAGAAAAAGAAAAGTAAAGGAAGACAATGACTCCAGTTTTTGCAAATGATGCAATTTGCAAGGGGCTGTCTATCAATTATAGGCGTTTTTCTGGGCTCTATCTGATCGCCATAATTAATTCACTTCTATAAAGGACAAGTCATAGAGGCTTGTTTGCATACGTGAGCCTCTGTAAGCAAACTTTCTTGCTTTTGTGGATAATTACATGCCTAGTTTCAAATGGTTTGTCGTAAAACAAAACCAAAGCGGTGACTGAAGTAGGCGTATCGTTCATAGGTTTGCATCAAAACGTGTTTTATTTTTACTAATACCATAACACCAAACAAAAAAAAAATCCATTTATTACCGAATTGTAAGCTTTGTCGGTATTCGATGTAATCCTTACACTTTTTTTTTAATCATTTCCAGAGGATCTAATAACATACTGGATGATATTAGAGTTATGTTTGGAAGTAATAAACGTCTGAATTTCTCGGCCAATCATTTCATCGTAGCAGTATCCTTAGTTTACCTTCTTCCAGGAGATATACCGTATGAACATAATGATGAAACCGACTTTGTGCTGATGAAGCTGTCTAGGCCAGTACCATTTACAAATTACATTCGTCCGGCATGCATTTCCAGCAGTTACAACCAATTCACAGAAAATGATGTGTGCTATGTTACCGGATTTGGTGTTCAGGGTAGTATGTACGCCCATGCCATAAAAACACACCTAAATAATTATAGACATATAACACAGATACATTATATATATATATATATATATATATATATATATATATATAATTTGTAAAGTGCATATATTTTAGCGATGAGTAATACTATTATGCTCTATATAATGTTTAAACTATATATATAAAATATTAGATATAAACATATACATATATGTATTGTATTCATATACAGTAATGCTGTAAATACTTTACTAGTAGCATTAATGAATGTTTACCTTTCCACACATTTTTAATCATTATGTATTAGGTAATACTTCTTCATGCTCGTGTCTCCTCATTTCAAATACGTATTATTCAGGCGTATTACATTGATGTTTTTGCCTCTCTATTTATATTCAAATAGACCTAATTTTTAGTTAATATTAGAGCTTCTCATAGATCATGCATCATAAAAGACGTGTCGAGGGAGTGGCTTTTATAAAGAGAAAAAAATTAAATGAACTTTCAAATTTGTGAATAACTGTACTTTACAGCAGGTGGACCCATTGTCGCGATGCATGAGGTTCCAGTGGACCTTTTTAGCAGCGAAAAGTGCAACGAATTTCAAGGAACAGCTATGAGAATGACAGAAAACGAAATATGTGCTGGAAGACGTGAGGGCGGCATGGATACTTGCCAAGTTAGTGCTTTATTCAGAACCACGCATGATACATTAATTACGCAGTGAAATAGGTTTTAGAAAATTATTTGTATATACTCCCTATTCTTTATGTATTAACAGCTAGTTGTTACTTAATTCGTTTGTGCGTAAAATTCGCATAAAGTGCAAAGGTAAGTCTGTTTCAAAGCCAGACAACCAGATTGATGGACATCTATGATTATTGGGAGACTGAAGACACGAAAGGATTCTTACCATTACCCATCAGTCGGATGTCCACAGTGTTACAGTGGTTGCAGTTGTCAGAGCAACTTTATTTGGGTTGAAATCCAACTGCTGGTGGTGAATAATGTGATTTTAATAATATGGCTAGCCGAAACTAAGATATCTCAGTTAATAGAGATACACCTAATGAAATAAGATATCCTCGTTAAAAACTAAGATATCTCAAACTAAAATATATCTATAAGCAGACAAGATAAAAAATAAGATATTAGTTTATAAATATTAAGATATTAACAAAGATATGTCTTAGCAGAGATATCTTAGGTTTGTTTCCCGCGAATAGTAATATGGTAAAATGTTTCGACTATAGACAAACTAAATATTGTCTGCACATGTAGCCTATGTGATGTAGAATCCGCGCAAAATCTTGAAATCGACCTTAATAACTTGTTGCCAGCCTACTTTTAGTCATGACAGAACACGCACTGAATAAATAAATAATAATTACCTATTGCCGTTTTACCAAGGAATGATAATTCTGTGGTTATGAAACCCTACCTTTAATAGATAACTTGGTTCAAACAAAACAAAATCTTAACCTGCAGCCTCTCGCTATCAAGGTGAGTGCCATACCACTAAGACATATTTTGCAAAAAATTTGGCTAGAGTACATACAAATTGCTACAGTGTTGTATTTCCTAAGAAGGTCTGACATCATTCTGTTAGCAGCATAGTATAGGAGAGTGTAAACTTCAGCGAAGAGTGAAACCTAGGCAAGTGGAAAGAAAACTAATTTTGGACTACTGGGACCACTGAGACATAACAGACGTTCTTGTGCAGGCTCAGCTTTAGATGCTATTTCTAGAAAAAGCTACGAAGAAGTTGAAAGGAGAGTTTTTTTTTTTCTAATGCTTTTTCAGAGAGGATGCTATGCGATGACACATAATTTATAATTTTGTTGTGTATATTCCTCTTAGGGTGATAGTGGTGGTCCACTCGTTTGCCTAGGAGAAGATGAGAAATGGTATCTTTTTGGGATAACGAGCTATGGACAGGGTTGTGCCGAAAGATTTCGACCTGGCGTGTATCATCGTGTTTTTCCGTATTTGGATTTCATTGATAACATTTTGAATGCAGGTATGACGGTATTTTTTTTTTCTATTTTTAATTTTTCTATTTGTTGACACACTCGGATAAACTTTTCGAAAAAAAATTGTATGTACATACGAACAAAAATACAAAAGCACCGCATATTCAGAATAGTAGGGTATTGGCCTACGTGTGCCAGGGAAAAATTGGTCCGAGCCCAAAATCGGTCCACAGGAACAGATTTTGGCCCAGACCAATTTCATCGTGACAGGCCTACGTCATCAGGACCTTTTTTAGCCACAAAGAAACTAAAATTGAATTAATGAACAGACGCCGCGAACGCGAAGGGGAGGAAGGTGCACATCCTCCATTTTGAGATAGCATTATCACTACCGTGTACACGCAGGTACCTCTGCGTCATTATGCTGGGATCCGATAGCTTAAACAAAGGGATAAAGGCCTGTTCATACTTCAACGATAACGATAACGATAAAAAAGCTAAAAAGCGATTGCTCTACTACCGTACACTGCTAAGTTAGCGGCGCCACCTCAAAAAGGAGGTGCGACTTTTCAGGGTGAAAACCTTAAATACTGGAATTTACAAAAATGTTAAGATGAATTGACTAAGTTAATAGAAGTCTCAAAACATTGTGTGACGATTCAACAATAAAATGCACACACAGTTTAAATTCAATGCAGTACTAACGTACATAAAGCTACATATTTAATCATGGATGTAAGCCCCTGCGAAGCTTCAACAATATAAGCATTATCAACCAATCAATTAATCGTTATTTATAAGGTACCATTCCAACACGGACAAAAAATTACTTTCCCATAATAGGCCTACGACTTTCGGATCATTTCTTCTTCGGGTCGTCTGATACTAAAAATAGGCTAGAAAATACCAATATAAATTATAAAGACGGTTAAGCAACCAAATCGATTGAATGTTGGATAAAATATCACTTTGATAGCACGAATTATATTGCTTTGAAACAGGATAATATGAAGGCCAATCTGAATCAAAAGAACATCTACTTCATGGTCCAATCGATGGTGTTGTAGGCCTTTTAGGCCAAAAAGCTTTTATGGGCCCCACCTGCGGGTAGTTACACTCAGTTGCCCTAACAATTTCGAGAAAAAACACCGACAATTATATTCATTAATTTTCTTCTTTAGCGCTTCCCTTATGAAACCCCTTTGGGCGTCGCCCCCGAGAGCTCGCGGGGGCGAAACAAAGGTACAACCACTCAAACTGTTGAAGAAAGTAGACTTTGCATTTGATGAGGTAGCGGTGATTAAGTAATACATAATATTTTTTCTGTCTTTGTTACAGAACATGAGACTTAGTGCTGACAGCATTGTGTGCAAGTACGGTTTAAATATTA